TTTTTTCTCTTCATTTTTCTCTCTCCTCTCTTTTGGATATGTGTTAGCAAGAAGAGGGGGTAGGGTTGTCTTTTCTCCTACAACAGCATAAAAGATTACCCCGTAGTGTAATTCATCACCTTTTTAGTTTCTTATTTGTATATCATAACCCTGATGTTATCAAATTCAAGTGGAATCGATTACTAAATTGAAACAAATTTGCCCTCTCGATAGGGCAGGAGAGATAGATTTGGCTTAGTTAACAGGAATATTAAGAGGCATTTGACATCGAAAATAAATTGTTGCACATCAGTTTTATAATACCCCTAACTTAAGAATTTAATTAATTACCTATAATTAAGTAATTAAGCATGTATAAGTGGGTAGAATTAAGCAAGAGGTTAAAGTTAATAAGTTAAGGAAACTTTTAAGGTAAAAAGTGCAGTCAGTGAGAATTAAGGGGTAAAAATAAGAGTAGATAAAAGTACTTAATATATAAAAGTAAAGTTAAAAATATTACTAGAAAAATATTCTAGACCATTTGGTTAAGTTTGGTGGTGAATGGAGGTGAATAGATAGATAAGATTTTACCCGGTTAAAATTACTCAACCTAAGTTAAGTGTAAAAAAGAAAAGAACCCTCCCATTTTCCTTCTTCTTCGCCGACGCAGCCAAGGGAGAGAAAAGAAAGGGAGAAGCCATTTAAGGGAGCTCAAACCCTAGCTCCTTCATTCCTCTACCAAATCTATCTGTTCCAAAGCGAAAAACGTAGAGAATCCTTCCCTCATTGCAAATCCTAGCTTGGTTTTGAGTGGGAAGACTTGTGAAGAGAGATATCTCATTCCAAAGATTTCGACTCCTTTGAAGATTTGAGGAGTTTGAGGATATTTTCATTCATGGGAGCTTAAGATACCTCTATTCCTTGGTTGTGTGACCTATTGTGGTAGGTTTCCACTTCTGCAACCTAGTTTTCTAGAGGTTGAAGATACTGAATAGTGTTTTGTGGGTTTTATGAGTTTGAGTAAGATTGAGGCTAAATTCCTTTGGAAATGTTGTTAGGAATGATAAATAAATGGTAGAAATAAGTTTAGATTGTCATTTTAGTATACTTTGATATTTGGAGTAATCTATGCTTGAAATTAAGGATTTTCTTGCATTGTTAGCCTTGGTTGGTTATATGTTTGATGGTGTCCCTTGTGTGGCTAGGATTGAAGCAAGTGGAGTGACCAATCCTTGTGGTTGTGTTCAATTGAGGAAAGGAAAGCTTTGAGGAAAGTTCAAGTGCAAGGTAAACCTTCGGACTTTGGAGTTAATCCCTTTGAATGTTCCACCATACTCCGTTGAGGAGGAATGATTTATGAGGTGTGATATTTAATGATGATAGCAAATGTATGTTCATGCATTGACTCATACATTGGTAAATGTTATGATTTCTTAATGATCGTTGATTGATTATCAATTGTTATGGTGATATTTGACTGTAAATATTGATTGAGGTAATGATTGATAGAATTATGATGAAGATGATTGGTAGGAACTTCCCTTGCAAACAACCCTATGTGGATCTCTCTTGGAGGTTCCTAGATTGAGGTTAGGGACTTCCCTTGGAAACAGCCCTATGTGGATCTCCATGTGGTAAGAGCCTAAGAGAAACAACCTTTCATGGATCTCTCTTGGAAGTCCATGTGATGTTTATGGATAAGAAGTGTTAAGTTGGTATTATTGTGTGTTCACCGAAAGTGAACCTTAGGGGTGAGTGATCTCCAAGGACCCCAGGTTTACTGTGATATATTCGTATATCTCATCCTGTGTCATGAAGCATTATTTCAGGTACTGATAGATGTGAGGTTGATCGAGGCAAGAAACATGAGTAGGTTGTACTTTATAGCTGGACATTTTGAGTTACATGCCATTCAAAATTGTTATATGTATTTATTTTAAGGCCATATGATGTATTTTGAAGGACTTAGTGCATGATCATGTTTATTTTGGTAGCTAAGTCCTTTGGCATGTATATGAAATTTGGAAGAGCATTGATGTAATTGAAACTTTAACATATTGATGAATATGAAGTTATGTTTATCATCATGATCTGCATGATGAATTGGTGAAGTGATTGTGGGATGTAGGTGCCACATACTGTGTGACTATGGTTGACCTTTCATTGTCAATTAGGTGTTATGACCCTTGGGGAATGAAACTTCCCCAAGAAAATCACCATAAAAAAGGGGAAACCAAGTTTGCCCCAGGTGGAGGGCGCTTAAGCGCTGATTTGAGCGCTTAAGCGCGCTAAAGACCTGAAGATGACCAATTTCTTCTGCCTGTGCGTGCTTAAGCACGTTGAAGCGCGCTTGAGCGCTCTACCGGGCGAAAAAAATGTTCGAAGAGTAGCGCGTTTAAGCGCCAGCCCATTTTTAACACGGTCGTAGTTTAATAAAATTGGCACAACTCGAGCTACAGAGCTCCAAATTGAGTGAGGTTTGAACCTATGTGAAGCTAACACATAGAGATATAACCAAGTAAAATATTAGAGCCATTTGATGAGGATATCAATGTGAGTTTAAGACTGAAGTTGATGATACAATTCTGAAAGATCGGTTTCGTCAGCTACCTTGCGAGTTTAATAACTCTGGCTGTACTTGACCAAAGGGTTATTGTAATATCTTTCCGGAAAGCCCTAGATGTCAAGTTTATCATAATGAAAAGGTTAGAGTTTATGGTTAAATGTAGGGGTGTGCATGACAACCATTCTATTCCCTAGCACTGTTTCTGAAAAGAAATAATTCTTTTCTATTTTTGTGCCTTGGAACAATTTCTGAGAAAAACAACGTGTTTGATAACATATTTTATTTTTATTCCGAGAATGAGAATTGTGTTTGATAACACAACAAATAATATAATAAAAAATAATTCTTATTAAATATAAAAAAATTGGATCATCACTTTCCTTTTCATATGGTGTGGTTGTGGTGGTGATGGTCGGGGGGGGGGGGGGCATGGTGGTAGTAGTGGCGGTAGCGGTACAGTAGTGGTGGTGGCATTGATGTGGTGATGATAGTAGTGGTGGTTGTGACGGTAGTGGTTGCGATGATGGTAGTGATAATGGCGGCGGTGGTAGTGGTGGGGATGGTGGTGGTGGAGGTGATGGCAGTGGTCGCGACAATGGTGGTGGGGATGATGGTTGGTGGCATTGGTTGCGGCGACAATGGTAGCGGTGACATGGTGGTGGTGGTTGTGATGGCATCATGATGGGGATGATGGTTGGTGGCGGTTGTGGTTGGTGGCATTGGTGGCGGCGACAATGGTAACGATGGCATGGTGGTGGCGGTGGTGGTAGGTGACAGTGGTGATGGTGGTAGTGGTGGCGATGGCGTGGCGGGGGTGGTGTAATGGTGGCGATGGTGGTGGCAGCGACGGTGGTGATGGTAGTGGCTGCGGCAATGATATTGGTGGTTGGTGACAGTGGTGGTGATGGTAGCGGTGGCGTCGTGCTGGTGGCAGTAGCGTAGTGATGGCGATGGTGGTAGTGGCAATGACGTGATGATGGTGATGGCGATGGTGGCGGTGACGGTAGTGGTTGCGATGATGGTGGTGGTGGTTGATGGCGATAGTGGTGATGGTGGTGGTAGTTGTGGTGGTGGTGACGGTCGCATAGTGGTAGTGATGGGTGGCGGTGGTGGTGATGGTGGCGGTGGCATCGTGGTGGTGGGGGGTGGTGACGACGACACTAGTGGTATGACGGCGGCGACGACAATGGTGGCTGTGGTCGTGTCGGGATGATGATGGTGGTGGTGATGATGCTAGAGGTGGAGAGTGATTGAGAGAGATAAGTGTTTCTCATTTAGTACTCGGGAACAAAAAACAAAAATTTTCTGATTCTTTTCTCTGTTCCCCAGCACAAAAATTAAACTGGTTTATCCCGAGAACAAAAAAATAAACTGATTTTATCAAACGAGTTTTCTATCCATTTCTCTTCCCGGGAACAGAACTTAAAAAAAAAAAAAAATTGATTCTAGGAAGGTTATCATGCACACCCTAGATGTCTCAAGTACTAGAGTTATTAGTTATGTTGATGTTGATGTATGAAAACCCCCATAAACATGTCTGTTAAAGAACGTTACGATATTAAGTAAGAATTTAACTATTTTGCAACGTCACACAGTTATACTTATCTCATTGGTTATTTAAATACGGTATCGCTTAAAAAGGAACAAGGAACAAGGTTTTAAAAAGAAAAAAATTATCCGTATTTTAATTGAACTAATGTAATTGAAATTGCGCTTAATATCATAAAGCAATAATAACGAACCGATTCTAAAACGGTGTTACAAGTTTCCCTTGGTATCAATTTTACATACCCGTAGAGTGTTGATCTCTAACCTAGCCCCACATACTCATGGTATTGTAAGGACTAAACTCTAAATTGAGATCAACTGATGTAAAAATATATGAAGAAAAATTCGTGCATAATGGTATGTTGTCTTAAATATATAATGATGATATCACAGTATCACACTAAAAAACATCATGTGTCAAGTATGGAATAAGAATTATTAGAACTTCAAAATTCACATGTCTGAAAGAATAATTGAAGACTATCCAAAATTTTGCTTATCATATCGGGAGATGAGGATTCCACGAAAAACAGGTAGCTGCTGCATTTTACATTCTCATATCCGAAGCATGGAACCAAAATGACAAATTATGTAACGGACATATTTGACAAAACAACATGATTTTATACATATGGTACGGGGCCAAGGCTATATTCCCCGTCTTCAGAAATTTCAGACAATTGAGATATTCAGAAATTCCACATGTGTATGTTTCAAACATTTCAATGGGTTTAATGTTTCTTTGTAGGAGATAAATTTATATCTTACATACACATAAAAGTATGCGGGTCCATGTTTTTTTTTTTTCTTACTTCTCTTCACAGGGCTCCACATGGACCCCACATACTTTTATGTGTGTGTGTGTGTGTTGGAGATAATTTTATTTTTTATAACACGAGAAACATCAAATCCTATTTCAATACGCCAAAAACAGAAACAAATACACATAAGGAATGACGAGCAAAGACCACAAATGTGTACAAATGTGTGATTTTGGTTGGGGGTGAACGGGAGAGAGAAATCTTATCATACCTACAATTGCCAATTCCATACAGATCAAGAAAACAAGAGATGAGGAAACAAAGGGCAGGATTCAGTATACAAATGCCTTGGGGTCTTTGTCAATTTCTCTTTACTTATCTTAAAGGACAGCTACAACTACAAACGATTACAATCGATAGTTCCAAATGTAACCAACTCCAGAGAGACAGGGGGAGGAAAGAAAAAGGCGTACCATACATGTAAAATTCCAACCTCAACGTTTGGAATACTGAGGGGCTTTACGAGCTTTCTTCAGACCAACTTTCTTCCTCTCAACCACTCTAGCATCTCTGGTCAGAAGCCCTTCCTGTCTCAAAGGTGCTCTATGATCTTCGCTCACCTTCAGCAAGGCACGAGCAATGCCAAGGGAGATTGCCTGGGCCTGACCAGAGAGGCCACCACCCTCAGCTTTGACAAAAACATCATAGTTATTTTCATATCCCAAAGTTATTAAGGGGACCTTAATGTATTGAAGCCACAATGGATTTCCCTGAAGATATTCCTGTACAACATTAACATAAATCAGACAAAATAAGATTAAATGGAGATGACAAATAACACCACCCAAAATAAAAAAAATAAGAGATCTAAGGAGCACACGTCCATATAAAAAAAAAACTCCTAAAAGACAAAGTATACAACAGTTAGAAAAAGCCGTCCATGGGTTATCTGATTCCAATTCAAGCACGTTTCTCATTAAATCCTAAACCCAAGATGACAGTATGTGAAATTTCTTCATGTGATTATGAATAGTAAAAAAGAAATAATGATCCAGCAACAAGGTTTAATCACCTAAGCTAGTGATAACTATTCATTCATATTATGAAAAAACAAATTTCATTCTAAATAAAACAGTAAAAGACACACACATACATACACATACAATATATCATTATACCAATTATTCTTCAATAAAGAAAAAGGAAGAACTTGGTCAAAAATCCAACATCACTTAGATGTTCCAATTAAATAAAGTTTGAGCCATCAAATCAAATGTACTCTAGGGTGTTTCGGAGCTCATCTTTAGTACAGCAGTAGTATATACTACTCCCATTGAAAATTAAACACTTGTCTTTAATACACTATTTTTCTCTCTTTCATGTCATCAATCAGCATAGGTGTTTAATTTTTATTGGGGAGATGTATAGAAAATTGGGTAAGACAGTAGTATTATAAAAATTTCCGGTGTTTCGGGCCCTTTACATGGCTCACCGAAAAAAACAACAACATCACCAATATCTCTCCTCTTCCTTACATCAACTTCTGACTACGTGATTGTCCCTCACAATTCGCAACATGATCACTTGCAGTAATGATTTTGCACCACCTACACATTTTGGAATATTCTCCACAATTGCCTATACTATACATAAATAGCTCATGCCCTCAGATAGGGATCTATTCTCATTTGCATTACTCCACCTCTTGCAAATGCAGAGAGTTCTGCAAGTGAACCACCAACATACGGTGGAGCAACCACAAAAGCACCTCATACAACCATCATCAACCACGTAAGAGGACCACAAGGAAGACCAGATTCAAGTAACAACCATCTCGGACTGAAGAAAGGGCATGCTTGGTGGTTGGTAGAGAAAGTGGAAAATAAAACGGAAGTGAAAATGGAGTAAGGGTGAATATGCCCATAATTTAACCATCCATACATTGTTGTCATATCAAGCAATTAAAATGTAAACTTCATTCATAATTTTCCTTTATATTCTGCCATCCGAACCTCAACTCAACCAAGCATACTCAAAGTGAATTAAACTCACCTCATTTTTTTGCATAATATAATAAAAGAAATTAAACCGATAATGTGAATTTACAATTTGAAATATACACAGAAAGAAAGGAAGGAAGGAATGAAACCTTAGCGTCACGGTAATTGATGATGAATTTGCCAGTTCCTTCTTGTAGAACAACGCGAGCGATAGCGCTCTTCCGGCGACCGGTGCCTATGATTGTTTGAGCAGCGAATCCACCTGGAAGCCTCGATTTCACGAACTTCGTGAGGTCTTCGGTTTCTGGTTCCGCCGGAGAAACGACTGCTGTGGCGGATACAACGAGAGAGGGCACGCGCGAGAGGGAGACGGAGAGGGATTCGGTTCTCGCGAATAAGAGGTTGTTTGGTTTCTGAGAAATATGGGAGGAAAAGGAGAGTGAAGATAGGGAAGCAGAAAGACCCGATAAGGAAATCGCCATTGTCACTCAGTTCACTGCCTTTGCAAATCCAAAGCTTTGATTGGATACGGTTAGATGTACACAAAGAAAGGGGATAATGAGGAGAGGGGAAGAGGGAAGAAAAATAAAATTAAAGCTTGAATATTTAATGGTAAGTGAAATGGCATAAAATGAGATTGTAACAGAGAAAAATATTTTTATATCTACATAAAAATTATTCATATTTTTTTTTATCTTCTTTCGTATAACTTAACATGAATTCTATATATATATATATATATATATATATATATATATATATATATATATATATATATATTTATAAATGAACTCTATATATTTTTATGTGTTTTTATAAGATAATTTGATTTCCATACTTTTTTTTTATAATTATCTAATAAAAATTAAGCCACCTGGATTAGATTCATTTCTTGTACCCAATGGGTGCAGCTCAGTTGGTAATTTGGCGCTGAGTTAGTGGGGTTGGACATGTGTTCGATTCCTGCTGAATGCATTCTTGGGGAGGGAGCTGAACCTTTAGCCATCACTGCTCCCCCGCACTCCGGATTAGTCTCATAGCCGACTCAAAGAGTCGAAGCTCGTGGAGATACCGGAGGGAGCCAACTCGCCTCAAAGAGGTAATTAGGATTGGATAACTCCAAAAAAAAAAATTCATTTCTTGTTTATTTCGAAAGATGAACTCACATATTCTGCATTCTTTGCATATAAGGGGAATTAAGAAAAAAAATGAAATGGTTACTCTCACAATTTATTTTTATTGTATTTATTATATAAACCTTTTAAGTAAATTGTTTTTATTAGACAAAGAATAATAGAATAATCTGTTATTATTTATTTTTAACATATTAATTTTTTTTTAGAGTGATTACATTTTTTTTTAGTTTTTAATGTTATTCATAATTTTTTTAAAATTTAAATTATTATACCTCTATTTTTTATGATTTTAAATGATATTCTCCTTCAAAATTTATATTTTATTTAAGTTTAAAAATATTTTCATAATGTATCAAATATTTACTAATTTACATATATTTTCATTCTTTTTTTTCTTTGATGAAGCCAAATAAAGGAAGAGAAGCCTCTCTTCTTATTTGAATGAATGATATCAAATTCGGGGAAGCAATGTGTCTTTCACTCTTTTCTTTTTTCTTTTCAATTTTCATGATATTGTTAGCACGTGTCTTAAGGACACATGTTATGAATTAAAAATAAAATTTATTACTCTTTATTATATTATTCAATTTATTTAAATAAAAATATTAAATATATTTAAAATTGAAATATACTAATTATTTATATTTTTATTTGATACTTTTTATTTTGAATATTTTCTGGACGTGTTAAAAAATACATTTTATATAGCTAAAAAAGAGTAATTTATGAGTTTATCCTCAAAATTTATTTCGTTCTTACAAATTAAAATTTACTATTAAACTTAGGAGTTTATTAGTATCAAGTAACTGTAAAACAAAAGTTGGTTCCTGCCCTCACATGCAAAAGTGGGACCCACTAGGTGAACAAAAAAAACAAAAGAAGAAAGAATAACGCACTTATCGATGTGAGAGTAGAAAACAAAATGACTTTACTGTTACTTGATACAAATAAAACCCTTAAACTTAATTATATCACATATTAGGTGTAAATTATGATCAACCTTTTTTTTTTTTTTTCTTTTTTACTTCTTCATCTACCGTCATTCGAACAAGGGACATTGTAGCATTGTCTTCCAACAACTACATATCGACCATGAATGCTGATCATCCCTTTTTCTATCCGTATGATTATTTCTATTTCCCTTGAATAATAAATAGAACTGATGTTTGTCATTTTAAATGACATAAGTTACGTCGTTTTAGGAGAGAGATAGACATAAGAAATCAAAATTATGAAGAAGAAAATGAGTGATTTTTTTAATTTAAATTTTAAATAAAAAATATTATTTTGTGTCTATCTCTTTCATAAAATACATAACTTTATGTCATTTAAAATGACAAATATTTTTCTGATGATAAATATGATTTTTTATAATTAAAGTGTAATAATAATATAAAAAATTTAATTTTCTGCAAAGTCATCTATTCTTCCTCCCTTATTTACGTGTTCACACATTTACTATGAAATATAAAGCAAACCTATATATATTTTACAAAATATTATGTAAAACTAAATTGCGGGAAAGCAAAACCTATTTTTTAAAAAACTGGACTCATAATTAGAGGAACTTCTTAGCATATCAGGCATTTTGTTTTAATAAAAACTCTAAATTGTGTTACTATTTTTTTTATTTATTTTTGAAAATCTCTCGATCGGTTTATCGCTTCGCGACTAGTCCGATTCGAGACTGGTCCAAGATTAAGACTTTAAACTTCATCCAAATATAATACTAGAGAGAATCAAATACGTATTCTCACTCCCACCTACCCAGCTCTCATTAGCTACCTCCATTTCGCTATATTACTATTTTCGGATTCCTTAAAATGAAACCTACCAACGTCCACTTTCAAATAGCATGTAGTAAAAGTTGCATATTAAATTTCTACATCACTCATAGATTGTGGATCTAGATAATTAATTTAATGCAAAAAATTGGTAACGATAAATAAAAAAACCCTAAGAAGTGCCATAATTGATAATTGTGATGGAAGAAAAATGATGTGCAAATATGATTAATGCATATAAATTTTTATTAATAAAATAAGTTAGCTAAGGTAGGATATTCTAACTATCAATTTTTTCTATTAATATAATCATTATTGGATTAGAGAAAAAGATAAATGAACTGAGAAAAAAGTAAAATAACTTTTGAATCTAATGATAATATAGTAGAGAAATTTGATAATAAGAATATCTTGCTTCGTTAACAATTAGTACAAAAAAAAAAACTAACTATTTCCATTCTTAAGTGGAACTGTGGAGGCGTCACTAAGACAGAATTTCGAGTTCTCAATTAATAGCACAATTGAATGCAGTCTCAATCTAATTGTTCAGAATGACAAAATCTTAGATAAGCGAGCGTTGTGCGATGCATTCACAGCCTCCCCATTTTCATTCAATCTACTAAAAATCATTGATCATGCGCAATTGCTCCTCCCCACTTCCTCACTCGGCTCTCTGCTTGATCAGCCTGTGAAATCCATTATCAAGAAATTACATTTTAACAATAACAGGTTACATTTTAACAATTACATTTTAAATAAGAAAAGCGCCAACCTCTCTTTTCCAATTGGTTATTGCAGTGACGACTATAAGGATTATGGTCTGCAAAACTATGCCTCCAATCATCCCCGCCCAAATACCCTGAATAACATTATAGGTATAAAGAGTAAGAATAAAGAGTAATAAATTGCAAAATAATCATCACTAACAAACAATACAAATATTAACAATATAGTTGTACTTTATTCTAAGTGTGTTAGTAATTTAAAGAGAAGGAAGTGATAGTACATCACCTCTGCTCCAAAACCAAATGTGAATCCCAAGACTATCCCTGCTGGTAATCCAACAACATAGTAGCACCCAATGTTGATGTATGCTACAAGAGATTGCCACCCAGCTCCAACAGCAACACCTAAAACATGGGACAACAATGGCATAAATTCAAATTAAGAATAATAACACGGATTAATATTTCTCATGTTATAGGAGATAAAATTATCTTCTATACACACATAACTGTGGTATTCATATTATCTTTTTCTCTCTCTCTTTTCTTCACATGGCTCCCATACTCTTTTATGTACGTGTAGAAATAAAATTATCTCCTATAATAAAAACATTGATATAATTTGTCTCTGTTTGATTCTTTCGGGGACTAACCAGATAGGACCGGTTGAAGGCTGTTTAGAAGTACTGTGGCACCAAGCAATGCAGCAAGCTTAGTGGTTTCCTTGGCAACTGCAACGCTTGAGGTAAACAAGTAAGGAAAGTAATCCCTCGTTGCTAGCACTACGATCATGACAACAACACCTACGGATACTGATGTGATGGAAACCACCCACACTGCAAACCTTGCAGCTCCAAAATTACCAGCCCCAAGTTCATTTGATACTCTCACACTGTTCATAAATTAAATAAAAGTTATTCACATTAATATAAAATTATTAATATGACTTTCACCTAATAACTATAAGAGAATTAATTATTAATATGGACTTCAGTTAACAATTTAAAAATGTAATATAAAATTATTAATATAGCCTTCATCTCATTTAAGCCATTAGACCAAGATTATATTAATGATTTTATATTATATATTTCTAATATCAACCTGAAACACTTGATGAGAGGACAAAGAAAATAAGTGAGAAATTGAGAATGTAGCAGCTACATCCATGTAAAATCCAAATTTCAAACTCATATGGTCAATTACTCCACTAATTAGGTTATAAGAACATAGGCATTTCCTGTGTCATGATAAGCAAGAAACTATATTAGTAAAGGAATACACAGAGAGATGATGACCTTATTCCAGCATTGAACCCTATAGCAATCATGGCATCCCAGCCATTTATGTTCATACTGCAAACATGGAAACAAGTAATTAGTAATGATTATTGATCTTAATTAATTTTGTTATGTTCTCTCAAAATAAATGCAGTTGGATGATATGCTGAAATTGACTAAGCAAAAATTGACAAGATCAGTTTTGAGCTGCAAACACAGCAAAATAGGAGATGCTGACATGCACGTAAACACAAACTAGTAAATGGCTATCACCTTCACATGGCCCACTAAATTGAAAACTATGTTTGCTTTTGAAGGGAAGGAGGGTAAAGAATTTTTTACCAGATAGATATGGCATCCACAGGTATAAGAGGGTTTTTCAAACGCCCAGTTATCACTACAAGTATCATCAAGTACCAAAACTCCAAGCTGCCATCAAATTTCCAGAGTTCACTTTTTAACATCATGTTTCCAACAAATGTAATTAAATCAAATGGAAAATGAAAAATTGATATAAAATACCATAACATAACAGCTGAAGCCAAAGAAAGCTTCACAAAACCAAACAAGTCTGAAAATGCTAGCCATGTGAATCCACTCCAAGCACCATCTGATTTGGTGATGAAAATGTACAACAATTGAGCAATGACAATCAGCCACCATGATGTGTTAAGAGTAATTGCTGCTCCAGTTAAGCCCCATCCCAGCTTCAATATTAGAAGCCAGCTAAAAAATGTGTGTAGCACCAAAACAACACCTGATATCCATAACATCACGAGAACTTTCCTCTGTGCCTGTAAGAACTTTTGGATTGGAAAGTTCAAAGCATATGCAAACAACTGCGGTATCATCCACAGAGCAAATTTTCCTACAACAAAGAAAATAGAAGTAACAAGTATATACAGGATGCTCCTAATTGTAGTTAAAAAGAAATTTTAAACTGCAAACATTTCAATATTTCTTGAAGTTAAAACTTATCATAGCACATGCATGCATTTATAGCTTTCATGAGTAACTAAAAATATGAAATAAAATTACAACTTTCTTATACTATCATCTAACAATATACTATCATATCAGTCTGTCACACAATAATTAAAAAAATTTGATTTATGTTATAATTAAAATTGGATGATATGAATATATATAACTGACCAGCAGCATCCGATATCTCAGTAGTCTCTCCAATGAGCTTCAAGATGGGAGGTGACCAAATATAAATGGGTAACAAAATGAGGGCAGTAGTCAACAATATGATCCATGATCTTTGCATGTACACTCCCAACATCCTGATCTGACCCGCACCGTATGCTTGCCCACACAGCGTCTCCAATGCACTTCCCATACCCAACTGGTATCAACAAAAAAGATCGTAAGTAATCAACTTATAAGGATAAAAGTGAAAATAACAATTAACAATATAATTATGTGATTAGAGAGAGTCATTGGTAGGAAGACCACAATGGTTAAGCGAAAATCTCAACTCAAAATCTTATGAAATTTGGTTTATAGATATTTTTCGGTTACATTCTCCGAATATAATTTGAAGATATAGCTTTCCTTCCTACCAACGTAAAGGGCAAAAGGCAAATTCCAGTACACAAGACTCCAAACTTAGTAAGGGTCGATTATACACGGTCTTACCCTTACATTGTTTGAAAGAGACTATTTCTCATACTCAAACTCGTAACCTTCTGGTCACAAGGAACAACCTTACAGTTACTATTAGGCTAACCCTGCTCAGTGTGAACTTTCATCCACCCTGAGAATGAAGCTCAGTTAACTAGTACATCCAGTCCTTGTTGCTACCCTCTGCCTTTTTTTGTTAATGAATTTAACCGTGCTGGGATTGACTGCATCAAGATGAAGATGCATGATGGAATAATTCACACAATCGAAGGAGCCCAAGACTGAATGAAACAATGAGAGTAAGAGCTATTTTTGTGCGGCAAAAGCAGTTCGTGATACAACTATGTCAACAAACCATACCAAAACACATTGCTTAAATCAAATTTCTCCACATTCTGTTAAAAACAAATGGATAGACAAGTCAAACGAACAATAAAAACAAGGCCAAGAGAAAGAAGAAAGAAGTTTAGGGTACCATGACTCCAAAGGAAAGGCCAGCAATGACAGAGTTTTCAACTGAAACTGCCGCGAGATCAAGCTCATCAATCCGGCCAGAAAATGTGAGAGTGAGTGCACCAAGCGAGTACTGACATAATGAAGTGAAGATTGCTGGACCTGCTATTCTCCATAGCATCTTAGACTCGAACCCGAATTTCTTAACTAAGCTCAATGGCTTCACGTCCTCAACATTAGAAGAGTTGCCACTGTTATCTAGTAGTGGAGTGTCCACAGGCATGGTTACTTACTTAAGTTCAACTATATGACACACCCACTTGCTACTATTTTTCAATTTCAAAATGGGCTTTGAATATTAGAGAAATGTTGCTCTAGCTTTGCTTATATTGAAGATGAGAAATCGAATTATATACGAGAATAGAAATGGCTCAAGAAGAAGAGGCGGAGACTAGCAAGAAGGTTCAAAGTTCAAACTGCATCCACTACAATCTTTGAATGGTGGTTAGTAGCTAAATAGTAAATACTATCTTCCCAACAGTTAGTAACTCGTGCACTGTATAGTGCTTTCATTTTAAATTTAATTTAAAATACATTATAATTTGAATTCACTTGGCTAATCAGAAAAATATTATTAATTGTGTAAATAATTTATACAAAGAGGTCTCTATTTGTAGAGAATGAAAACCCTAATACTTGACCTAATGGGCTTGGCCCAATACAACAAATAATAATAATTAAATAACCAATATTTACAACACTCCTCCTCAAGCTGAAGAATAGATATTTATCATTCTCAACTTGCTAGTAAGTTTTTGAAATTTGTCTGAAGGAAGTCCCTTTGTTAATAGATCAGCCAATTGACGTCCAGTGGGAATGAATGGAGTGGTAATCAGCCCACTATCAAGTTTCTCTTTGATGAAATGACGGTCAACCTCAATATGTTTAGTCCGATCATGTTGAACTGAATTATGAGCTATACAAATAGCGGACTTATTATCACATAGCAGCTTCATAGGTCCCTCATATTTTATTTTGAGATCATCAAGTACAATTTTCAGCCACAATAACTCACAAATGCCTTGAGCCATAGCTCGAAATTCAGCTTCTGCACTTGATCTGGCGACCACATCTTGTTTCTTACTTCTCCATGTCATCAAGTTACCGCAAAGAAACATGCAGTAACCAGTGGTAGAACGACGATCAGTAACAGATCCAGCATAATCAGCATCAGTGTAAACTTCTAAAGAGAGATTGCCATCACGTCGGAATAACAATCCTTTACCAGGAGTAGCTTTAAGATACTGAAGAATTCTCTCTACTGCCTGCATGTGTTTCTCCTTTGGATCATGCATAAACTGACTGACAACACTAACAGCATAAGCTAGGTCTGGTCTAGTATGAGCCAGATATATCAATTTCTCAACTAGTCGTTGATATTGTCCTTTATCAACTTGAGGACTCTCCTCTTCATAGCCTATCTTGTGATTCTGCTCAATAGGAGTATTAGAGGGTTTACACCCGAGCTTTCCTGCTTCTTTGAGAAGATCAAGAACATATTTCCTCTGGCTGATAAAAATTTCTTTCCTTGAATGAACTACTTCTATCCCTAGGAAATATCTCAGTTTCCCAAGGTCTTTGACTTCAAACTCAGAGGCAAGCCGTGTTTGCAGAATCTGTTTCTCCACAAAATCATCACCTGTGATAATAATATCATCAACATATACAAGGAGCACAGTAAGCTTCCCATTATGGGAGTGCTTGAAGAAAAGAGTGTGATCTCCTTAACTCTGTTTGTATCTTAAGGTCATCATAACCTTAGTAAACCTTCTAAACCAGGCACGAGGTGACTGCTTCAATCCACAGGAGGAGGGTTGGCGTCAGGTGTTGCGAACCGGCCGTAAAAAACAGCTATATTTTTATGTGATGAACCTATATGATTTTTCGTTGGGGCGTACCCTTCATAGCGACGCGTTGCACCGGGCCCCGGGTGTAGCGAAAAATGGGCTAGGGTCCTTGCCACAAGGCAAGGCGCTGCATCGGGCCCGAGGTGTAGTGAAAAGTGGGCTAGGGTCCTTGCCCCAAGGCAAGGCGCCAGGTCTTCACCCGGATTTGGTGAGAAGTATGCCAGGGTCCCAACACGCAGATGGGCGAGCGTGGCGGGCAAGCACAGCCCAGGGGTTAAGGATGAGATTGGGAAGCTGGAACATAGGAACCTTAACGGGTAAATTGAGGGAGTTGGCAGATGTTTTTGCTAGAAGGAAAGTGAATATTGTTTGTTTGCAAGAAACTAAGTGGGCTGGAGAAAAGGCCAAGGAAGTGGATGGAACTAGTTTCAAGTTATGGTACACAGGTACGAACAAGAGTCGAAATGGTGTTGGAATTATGATCGACAAAAGTTTCAGAGATAAAGTTGTGGACGTCAAAAGGAAAGGCGACAGGATTATTCTGGTTAAGCTTGTTGTGGGTGACTTAATCCTGAATATCCTCAGTGTGTATGCACCCCAAATTGGATTGCAACCAACTGATAAAAGCCAATTTTGGGAAGACTTGGAGGAGGTTGTGAGGGGAATACCTCGAGAGGAGAAGATTTTCGTAGGAGGAGATCTAAATGGTCATGTTGGTAAAAGTAATGGAGGTTTTGATAGAATCCATGGAGGTTTTGGCTATGGGACGAGAAACGAGACTGGAGAAGATATCTTGAATGTTGCACTAGCCTATTTGATGTTAGTGAACACCTTTTTTCAAAAAAGGGAGTCACACCTGATCACTTATCATAGTGGCCATAATCGTAGTCAGATTGATTTCTTTCTGGCTAGAAGAGAAGATAAAACTTCTTGTGTCGAATGTAAGGTCTACCCTGGAGAGTGTGTTGCTACGCAACATAAGCTGGTAGTCTTGGATGTTCGGTTCAACAAAGTACGTACAATGAAGAAGAGGGCTCAGAATCCAAGGATAAGGTGGTGGAAGCTTAAGGAGGGAAAAGAGAGAGTTCAATGATAGAATGTTGCACGAAGGACCTTGGGAGTTTGATGGAGGAGTAAATGCAATATGGAATGAGATGGCTAAGTGTATTCAAAATTTGGGAAGGAGGGTGTTGGGAGAAAGCAAAGGAAATGGATTTCATACAAAGGAAACATGGTGGTGGAATGGAGAGGTGCAAGAGGCAATTAAACATAAGAAGGAGTGCTTTAGATCTTTGCATAAAAGTCCCAATGAAGAGAACCTGCAAAAGTTTAGATTGGCGAGAAAAAATGCAAAGAAAGCAGTGCGAGAAGCGAGAGGCAAGGTTTTCGACGAGTTGTATAAAAGTCTTGGGAGAAAGGATGGTGAAAGAGGTATTTATAAACTTGCAAGGATAAGGGATAAGAAAAGTAAAGACCTCACTCAAGTTAGATGCATCAAGGATGAAAATCAAAAACTCCTGGTGAGAGATGAAGATGTAAATGAAAGATGGTTGAAATACTTCAACAAGCTGTTTAATGGGGATGGAAATACAAGCGAGGTGGACTTAGAGGACGCGTATGATGATATGAATAGAAGATTTGTACGCAGAATTAATACTCATGAAGTTAAGGAGGCTTTAAAGAGGATGAAGACTAATAAAGCCTTGGGGCCTGATGGTGTCCCTATTGAAGTGTGGAGAGGCCTGGGGGATGTGGCAATAAAATGGTTGACCAATCTTTTTAATAAGATTCTCCAGACGAATAAGATGCCTGATGTATGGAGGAAAAGTATGATTGTGCCTATCTACAAAAACAAAGGAGATATACAGAATTGTTCAAACTATAGAGGCATTAAGCTAATGAGTCATACTATGAAGCTGTGGGAGAGGGTTATTGAACATCGCTTGAGGAGAGATACCAAGGTTTCTGTAAATCAATTTGGATTTATGCCAGGAAGATGTACCATGGAAGCCATTTTCTTGATGCGACAACTAATAGAAAGATACCGAGAAAAGAAGAAGGACTTGCATATGGTGTTCATAGACCTTGAGAAAGCATACGATAGGGTTCCAAGGAAAGTTTTATGGTAGGTCCTGGAGAAGAAAAAAGTTTCATTAAAGTATGTAAAGGCAATCAAGGATATGTATGATGGGGCTACTACATGTGTAAAAGCTTGTAACGGATCATCAAGTTATTTTCCTATCACGGTAGGTGTACACCAAAGGTCGGCTCTAAGTCCTTACCTATTTGCCTTAGTTATGGATGAACTAACAAAAGATATTCAAGAGGAAGTGCCATGGTGTATGCTTTTTGCAGACGATATTGTGCTTATTGATGAGAGCAAGAAGGGTGTTAATAGAAAACTTGAATTGTGGAGAAGCACATTGGAATCCAGAGGATTCACATTAAGTCGAAGCAAGACTGAGTATCTGAAGTGTGAGTTTTCTCCGGTACAAGATGAGGACCAAGAACCTGTGCATCTAAATGGTCAAGAGGTACCCAAAAAAAATGCTTTTAAATACTTGGGCTCCATTTTACAAAATGGTGGAGAGATTGATGAGGATGTAAATCACAGAATCAGAGCAGGGTGGATGAAATGGCGTAGTGCATCTGCATTTTTGTGTGACCGCAAAATTCCCCTGAAGTTAAAAGGAAAATTCTATAAAACGGCAGTACGACCGGCAATGCTATATGGAGCGGAATGCTGGCCAGCACATAGGCAACATGAGCATAAGATGGGAGTATCAGAGATGAGGATGTTAAGGTGGATGTGTGGGTACACAAGGATGGATAAGATAAGAAATGAAGATATTCGACGAAAGGTCGGAGTAGTACCGGTAGCCGAGAAGATGAGAGAACATAGATTGAGGTGGTTTGGGCACGTGATGAGAAGACCCATGGATGCTCCTGTAAGAACAGAAGTTTGTTACCAAGAGCTAAATACAAAAAGAGGCAGAGGTAGGCCGAAGCTTACTTGGGGGAAAGTAGTAAAACAAGATTTAATGGAGTGGGATATAGATTGGCGGACAGTATGTCTTAGAAAGGAATGGAGAAAAGCTATAAGTATGGTGGAGGGTTAGACCCGCTGTTATTCCTATGTTCCAGATGGTCCTTTTTTAGTCCTTTTCCCCTTCATTTCCCCCACTTCTTCTTGTCCTTCTCTTTTTTACTTTTATTTATTTATATATACATATATTTTTATTTTATTTTATTTTATTTTATTATTTTATTTGTGTATTTTTATTTATTTATTTATTTATTTATTTATTTATTTTTTTTACTTTTTTTCAACCGTTTTGTATCTTTCATGTGGGTTCATCTACCACCGACCCCAATTAATTTGGGATAAAGGTGTTGTTGATGTTGATGTTGATGTTGAAACTTTATTTTCTCCCTTCACAGAATCAAAACCAGGCGGGATTTCCATGTAGACTTCTTCTTCTAACTCACCATTGAGGAAAACATTTTTCACATCAAATTGATTTATATCTCAATTGTAATGGGCAGCAAGGGATAACAAGACTCTCACTGTATTCATCTTGGCAACTGGAGCAAATGTTTCTTCATAATCAATGCCATAGGTTTGAGTGTAACATTTGGCAACTAATCGAGCCTTGTATCTCTTAAGAGTTCCATCAGAATTATATTTCAGGGCATAAACCCATCTGCACCCTATTGCTTTCTTTCCATTAGGTCTATCAATAACCTCCCATGTTTTATTTTTCTCCAACGCATTCATTTCCTCTTGCATGGCTTGAGCCTAATTCCCATCTTTCAAGGCTTCATGTACTGATTTTGGGATTGCAATAGAGTCTAGTGCTGAAACAAAGCTTTTGTGATGCACAGAAAGATTAACAAAGGAAACAAAATGGGAGATAGGGTATTGAGTACAAGAGGGACAGGAGGAACAAGATTTCTTGGGACAAGATCTTTTTTCTTTTCTAAGAGCAATGGGTAAATCATCAGAATCAGTAGTAATGGGTAAGTCATCAGAAGTATTAACATCATGATCAGAAATATGAGATTCACGACTTACCAGTGGTTCAGACGATTGAGGTTGTTGCTGAGGCAATGTGGGTTGTTTCCTTATTTAATATACTAACTCAGGTGTCATAATCTTTCGTATCTCTTATGTACTTGATGTATCAGTCACAGGAGAATCAGTCACAGGAGGATCACTCACAGGAGGATCAGACACAAGAGGAATAGGAACAAGAGGAAGATACACTGACACAAGTAAATGAGTAGACACTGAAGATTCAAACTCAAAGAAGGGAGGTGATGAGTTTTCTGGTGAAAGATTCTCCCCCTGAAGATGAGGACCTTGGAAAAAGGACTCAGATTCCTGAAAAGAAACATCCATAAAAACAAAAAATTTCCTACTACCAGGGTGATAACACTTGTAGCCCTTCTTATCAGGAACATAACCAAGAAAAACACATTTAATAGCCCCAGGGTCCAACTTACTGCGATGATGTTTATGAATATAAACAAAAGCAACACACCCAAACACTCGTGGAGGAAGACTCATAGTTGGAATAGAAGGGAAAAAAGAAGCCATAGAGTGAATAGGACTTACATGGTCAAGTACCCAAGTGGGTAAACGGTTGATCAAGAATGCTGCAGTAAGAATAGCATCTCCCCAATAGTATTTGGGTACATGTGTCTGAAACATTAATGCACGAGCCACTTCAAGAAGGTGACAATTTTTTCATTCAGCAACCCTATTCTGTTGGGGGGGTGTCAACTTAAGTAAGTTCATGAATCATACCGTTATTTTGTATAAATTGGGAAAAACTGTGATTAACATATTCAGTACCATTATCTGTTCTTAGTCTCTTGATTCTTTTACCAAATTGGGTCTCAACCATTTTATAAAATTGAAAGAACAATTGTGGTACCTCAGACTTTTCACGCATTAAGTAAACCCAAGTTACACGAGTGCAATCATCAATAAAAGAAACAAATCATCTATTTCCAGAAGCATGAGGGACTTTAGAAGGACCCCAAACATCATAATGAATAAGATCAAAAGGTTCAACACTCTTAGTAATACTAAAAGGAAAAGACACATGATGATGCTTGGCAAATTCACAAACATCACAATGAAAAGACTCAACAGATTTAGACAAAAACAATGACGGAAATAAAGACTTGAGTAAACTAAATGGAGGATGTCCCAAGCGCTTATGATGAAGCCAAATCAAAGAATCAGCAGTTGATTGACCATGAGACATCAAGATGTGATCTGTTACTTTATTTGCGGGAGATTGTGACACCAGATAGTACAGCCCACCTTGCTCTTTAGCACTACCAATCGTCTTCCCCATGGAGAGATCCTGAAAAACACAATGGGCAGGGAAGAAGGTTACAGTACAATTCAATTTTTTTGTAATTTTATGAATAGAAAGAAGATTCGTGGAAAGTTTAGGAACATGAAGAGCATCTTTAAGATGTAAGGACTGCTGTAAGTTTATGTCACCAGAACCCGCAACTGATGTATGTGAGCCATCAGCTACGGCTATTGTACGAGTTCCAATGGTAGGATGATAAGAAGTAAAGGAGTCACCACAACAAGCCATATGATCAGTAGCACCAGAATCAACAACCCAAGAATGTTTAAAATCATTATATAAAGAAAGGAAAGAATAAGTTTTGGAGCTCATACTAGTCATAGTCAAAGCACTAGTATCAGATGACTTACTCAAAGAATCAAGGATAGTTCGGAGCCGTTCCAACTCATCTGGACGAAATGAAGGTTGGGTCTCATTAGGTGCAGAAGTTATTTTAGAGGAAGTAAAATGCGGTTGACCACGCATCCTAGCCATCTTTTCTAAGACAGTTTGCTTTCCATGGAGGCGAAAACATAGATCCTTGATATGATCTGTTCTTTTACAATAAGAACACCATCGATCATCTCTCTTAGGTCTAGAAGATGCACCATCAGAAAACTTTGTAAAAGAACTCCTTTGAGAAGAGGCCATACTCACAAAAATGGTCAAAGGATAACACCAAGAAGCCAAAAAATCACAAACAAATACCAAACGACGTCCAATCTGAGAGGAAAACACAGATCCAGAAAGAGGACAAGAAGACGAGAAGAATGGCGGTGGTCCGGTCCAAAAACACCACCGCACGCGCTGGAGAAAGGATCTGCGTGTGGGCTTCACTCGCGGAGACTGAGGCGGCGCGTGAGAGCGCGTGGAGGGTCTTCTGCGGCTGAGATTTTTCTGGCGTGGTCGTCCGATGAGCGCGCACCTGTCTGTGGGTGGTCGAGGTTGAAAAGTAGTCAAAAAGAGGTCCAAACAGTGAAGACAGATCTGATTGGAGACGGTCGGAGGTGTTTGGGTCGTCTATGGCTGAGGAACGGTGCGTAGAATGATAGAACGAAGAAAAATAAGGTCAACAGTGGTCCCCTTGGTCCAAAAGGTCCCCGAAAAAATTTTCCGATGGCAGCAAGAGGCAGAGAAATTAGGGTTTTATAAAAAAAAAGAACAATAAGAAAGAACAGGGTAATCAGAAAAGGGTAATCAGAAAAATATTATTAATTGTGTAAATAATCTATACAAAGATGTCTCTATTTATAGAGAATAAAAATCCTAATACTTAGACCTAATGGGCTGGGCCCAATACAACAAATTATAATAATTAAATAACCAATATTTACAACAAATTCATTAAAATTTCAAAATAATTTTTCAATTTTAACCTTGTGCCAAATCAAATCGATAGTATCATGACGTGTTTGAAGCATATTCACAATGCTGGTCCATATGGAAAACTTACCGGGGGTTGGCAGTTGGCTGGCACATGGGAACTCCAAAGTTTGGTGGGATTGAATGGAAATATCTTCTTCTTTTTTTCTTTTTCTTTTTTGCTAAAAAAATTGTTTCAAAAATAGAAGATAATCTTGACGACTTTGTTGCTTTTAATTGGTTAAACCTTAAGCTTAATTTAGTTAATCAAACCATATCAAACGATGGCATCAGAAGTTGAAATTTCAACCAATCAACAACCCATGAAAGATTAGAATAACGGGTGGTGGTGAAGTAACAACTCACTAGAAATCAAGTCAATGGATTTTTGTTGCCTTGCTTTTAGTTGTAGCATACTTGCATTTCTGATCTTTCTAATTGAACAACGAGTCCTAGTTTGTTTGAAGGTAATGTAATAAATACATCGTACAATGAAGTTTCAACCACAATAAATAAATAAAGAAAAACTCCAATTGTGTTTAACTAAAATTTAAATTGTTATACTATAATTTTAATTGTTGTACTATAATTTTAATTTTTTTATAATGAGATAAAGTAAAGTAAATTTTTTATTCTATTTCTTAAAAAGAGTCATAACTATATTAAAGTTATTTTATCTCCAATCCCAAATTAGGAGAAAAATATTGATATATTGGATAAAATAAAATGAAATAAATTGTATTAAATTCAAGAGACGGGATATACTTAACACCAATTAAACTTACCATTTATTATCATCAAATCTTAATCGTTGATTTTCATAAATCTGATGGTTATAATTTATTGAAAATTAATAATTGTCATCCAATAAATTTTAACCGTTTGACAAAAATCAATAGTTAAAATTGAATAATAAGAAATGGTAAGTGGTAAGTGAATCCCTGCCCTAAATTCAATTCTATTTAATGGTCATGGAAGAACAAATTCTAAACAAGTGAGTCCTTGGTTAGCCAAACTTTCTGCCTGAATTTTACTTTGACCAGGATAGCTAGAAAGCTGAAACTTCACAATTGCCAAACAGCCAAAAACTACAAAGAGAATGAAAACAAAACAACAACCAACCGCACAACACGACTGTTCTATCAAAAAGAAATCGATTTACGCGACAATTCTTCGTTCCCGCTTGTTTTGTGGTTGGCGCGGCCCCTTGCATAGACTTGACGAAAATGATTCAAGACACTCTTCTAACCATGTGATGATTTTCCCTACAAATTGCCTTCAATTTTAACGGCTTCTGAGCTCTATATACATACACAATTCGTATATTAAATTTCAGCCACAGAACGGGAATGTATGACGTTTCAGAACTTAATGTTCCCTCTTTAAAGTAGATGAATCTCACAAAAAATCTAAATAGAATCCACCGTTTGTTTCCAAACTTACAAACAGAAGAGAATCAAAATTTATATACCAGACAAAACACCCTACAAGATCCATGACGATCAGAATCTGGCAAAACCTCTAGTCACGAATTGGGGGATAATTACCTCTAGCGAATGTGTATAAATCTACTTGCACGCCATAATTTTTTTTACCACTTTCACGTATTCGTGCTTTGGCAGAAAAACCTTTTTGATAACATCTCAACTGTAATGAGAGCTTAGGTGTTAGTATTAAACATCACAGCAGCTTCTTTCTATCATAAAACGTACAAAAAGCTTAGTTTCAAAATACACGATAGCTTCTTCCTATCATAGAATGCCATGGCTTAATAGTTATCAGTTAAGTGCAAGTCAAACAAAAAAAATTCGGGAATGATATACATTCACCAGAAAAATAATAATAATAATAAAAGCGTTAAGAAGATTCCTGATATTCCTGATAAATAATCTCAGCTCGTGGTGAAGCTCTCCTGAACCGCAATAGTTCTTCCATCAACATAAACTCTAATCCGCCGTTTAACACAGCCTTCACAGTCATCCTTTCTAGCACAGGAGAATGTAGAAGTAGAAAGCTGATAAAATCTAATTCAGATTTAACACCAGTGATGCGATGTATCCTCACATATCGCAAATGCATGACTGGAACTGGACAGCTCAACCGGTCATCTTCCCAACAATAGTTGCGTTTAAATAGAACAGTCTCCTCCTCAGTTCGAGCCTACAAGCAATTGTAACTCACAAGGGTAAAAATCTAAGTAACTCCCAAGACTAGATCCAGAACTTGAAAGAGACCAGACAACTCTGCTCAAAGCTAAACTACTTCACAAATTCTATAGCTTAATAACTTTATATAAATAATAATATCTATACGTGCAACCACTAATTAGCCTGGCAAAATCAAATCACACAAAGCTTATAATGACTAATGAGTACTCACCAATATTTCTAGTTCTTGTAGATTAGGTGAGCTTCGTAACAGGCACAGAGCAGCTGAAATTTCCTTCGAATCATTGAAGTTTATGCGTATGGAAAGAAAACTTAGATCAATGCATGGTCTAGGCAGCTTTGGTGGCACAACCCCTACTGCCAAATACTGGAACAGAAAGAAGAAAACAAAAGAATGGCTCTATATCATTACATAGTGAATTTGATACTTACAGATCAAGAGTTGCATGCACACGAGTGTGGTTCATTTTAAATTTACTCAAAAAACCAGCATTGGGTCATTCTTCAAATGCTCAAGAATTGAACAGATATTATTCATAGAACTATATGAATTGCTCAGACAAAGTGATGGTATGAGCATCGTACCTTTAAAAAATAGCTTTGAATCTCCAGCCTTCGTATGTGAGGTAGATGAGCAAAAAAATTGAGCAAATTGCTAAAACCTCCTTGCTTATTGTTTTCAAAGTTCACATCCAAACCAATGGATACCACAGCCAATCGAAAAGTGTTCTCAAAGCTAATAGCCTCAAAATTACCTTCAATGTAAAAAAACTGGAGATTTGGTGCATCAATATTAAGACGAGTTAAACCATGAAAGTTCGCCAATGTCAACCGTTCAAGCAGAGGGCAGCTGGATATCAAGTATTGAAAATCATCTTGAGCCAAGGTAACATTTTGCAGATCAAGACTCTTCAAGTTCCTGAAGCCTTGAAATTTTGATGGAGGTTTAAGCCAACAATTAAATAACTCTAAATGCTTCAAACTTTGACAAGAAAATAAGCATGAGGGTATCTTATAGTGTTGCCCTTTCCAGATTTCCAGCACAAACTCTTCAACTGACCTCCTGGATACATGAAGAGTCCAACGATCAATAGCGCTGACACCAGTAAGTTCATGATTGGAGACCTTGAACTTGTTGATTGGCCCAGAATGGAGTAAGAGTACATGATCAATATAACTCACAAGCTTGTTCATGTCAATGGAAGAGTCTGCTAGGGTATAATACAAGAGAGTGTCGTTATCGAACACAAGATTTGGTACTGTGGCCCATTTGTACCTCCATTTTCTGGATAAAATACTTGTTCCCACTGCTTCCCTAATCGGCAAATATGCGAGAATTTGATCTATTACATGATCTGGTAAGCAACTGATTCTATCTGGATCCACATCTGTTTGGCAAGGAGGCTGGGATTGTTCTTTTACCTTTAGATATATTCAAAAGGAGGATAGAGGAATCAGCAAATAAACTAGGATACTATATATGTATATAAAGGTTTTAAGTCCACCCAGAACCTTGTCATTGAAAACAGCATTATTATTTTACTCTTTTAGAATTCAAATAACAAAATACTAATGCTAATGAAAGAACAATTCACGTTGACTTATCATTGAAATTTTTTGATATTCAAATCAGCACCTTTTAGAGTTCAGTTTCACGCAATAAAAAATCAGAAATTCATCGAATGCTCTTAATTTAAAATTCGCAGAAGACTCTCGGGAGTTACCATGTCAAGCTAATAAGTATTTCCAGGCAAAACACGTAATCTTTGGGAGTGATAGCTGCAACGAACAAAACAAAACAAATCTTCAATTCATTAATTAGGGTAACAATAACAAATTAATGTAGAAGAAAATAAAAATGCAAGTTAACGTGGAAATCAAATGATCGAGAAGCACTCATAGCAATACCTAAGTGAAAGTCGCACTTGATAACACGAAGTGCAGGGAAATCAATGACAAATTGGTGGAGCGAAAGCCACTGTTGGAGAGAACGGTTAGATCCGATAGTGTCTGTGAGTCAATTGAAACTGAGATTATACACAGAAGAATCAGCAGCAACAGTATTCAAATTTCAAAACTCGACCTAGATTGAAGATGGGGATTTAGAGTGCGTTGGAGATCGAGGCCCAGCGTAAGGAGATTATTTTTTGCGAAAGGGGACCACAATTTTTTAGACTGTGCCTCAGTGTAAATAGTAATATAAAATTGGAAAAGAGAGAAAATAACAGGGATATAAATAGAAAGAAAAAATTAATGATGTAAGAGGGAGCATCAAAAGATTTAGTGATCGTTTTATTTTTTTGAGGATGTGGTAAGAAGAGATACATACAAAGGAGTATATCGCATTGGAATTTCAAAAGATTTTAATGGATTATTTTTGACAAAAAAAACATTGATATTCAATTAAGATTTTAAAAGATTGAAAAAAAAGTTATGTGCATGGTAGTTAAAATCTCAATTTAAATTTTCGTTATTACGATTTTATGGTTTTTTTTTAATCAAAACAATTTCATCAAAATTCCAAACGCTTTTAGGTTTTTATGATTTTTTACAATTTTTTTATGTTAAGATTTTACGTTTTATGATTTTTTTTTCCCTTCTGATTTTAGGTAAAATCCCAATTTTAACTATCATAGTCATGTGGTATTCGATTAGGATTTTAAAAAATTATTATAGAGTCCGTTCAAATCTGTTGGTATTCAATCAAGATTTTAAACAAAGGAAAAATAATCTTGTGGTATTCAAAAATCTAACGATTTTAATGGATTTTCTAATGGTGTAAATTTTGTGAGACTTTTTAATAAGAAATATAAATAGAATGTCTCTCTTACACTCTCACCCTAACCCCTAGGATTTCTTGAGATTTATCTATTATAGTGTCTTCTTCTACTTTTGGCGGGTTGACCCGCTCAAAATCAGGTTCTGCTATGGAAGCTTCGTCAAAGCTCAAGAATAACATATTTTTAGCGTTTCTCATAAAAAAAACAACAACCAAGAAACAACAAACAAACAAGATACTAATATAATCCATCTTAAAAACAGCAGATTTTTTAGAGTTTTTGAAAGTGTAAAAAATAATTTTTGAAGTTATTGGTCGCGATTTCCCTTTGCACAAAAAGTATGACTTTTATATTAAAAACAATATAAAACAATGGGAAAACAACAGGGGAACAAGAACTAACACTCTCAAACAAATTTTTATTTTACATCAATGAAACAATATCAATTTTTAAAAAAATTGAAACTTTCATAATATGAACCCTATATTTCGTAATAATACATTCATGAACGAAATTCCTTCATTATAGAAAATGATTTCAAACAATTTTTGTGTCAATAAATAACTAAAAACTTATTTTTCAAAAGCTCCAAAGCAATTTAAGGTTTTAATGTATCGATTGAAAATTTTCTAAACTTTCATGTAATAAAACTCAAAAATTCATATTTATAATTTTTTTAGAATACTCAATAAAAACATATATATGATATATGGTTAGAAAACTCTCATCATGTATAACAAAAACTTCAAGGTTTCCAAGATTAATTGCAAAAATTTTATCATGAACTTTAGGTTCTATATGCAAATTTAGAATTGTTTTAATAAATACAAAAATTGGGTCTTATAATCACATATGCATAGTTGTAATACCAAATGTAGAAGATAATTTTCAACTCATTGGTCAAACTCAAAAGCACGAATGAGAAAATACTAATACGTGGAGGACTAATATAACTGTTGATATGTGGAGAGTTATTGCTTAATAATTTTGAATGTTTGTTAAAAAATTATATTAGGTTTTACTTTTTTTTATTAATATCATTGCATTTCTTTGTTTTTTTTATTGACTCGTATAATTTTGAATGTTTGTTAAAAATTCATTTGGTTTTTAAAATCTTATAAATTCATATTGTCCTTTCAAATCTTATAAATTCTATTAAAATTCTTTAAAATGTAATTTTATGAAATCTTGATTGTAAATTTTTTTTTTAAAAAAAGTCTTTAAAATACCTCTAATTCTAAATAGTCATTTAAAATCTGTAAGATATTTTATCTAAAAAAAAATCGTTTAAAATTCTAATCCAATACACCCCCTAAAAATCATGAGAGAAAAAGTAGGTAATTTTTTTAATTAAATTTTAAACGAAAAAACTAATTTTAACTAAAATGACAATTATTCAAAAGGATAAATATTTTTTTTAACACAAATTATGGTTTTATTTTTTCTCTAAACATAATATTTCTAGATGTATCATTGCTTTGAATCAAGTGAGATTATATATAATGAATTAAAAAAGGTAAATTATATTAATTTTTATTTTAGTGAGCATATATTATTTAATAATATTAACGTATGATTTCACTTAACAGTAAAATAGTAAAAAAAAAATGTTATTAACATATTTTTTTATAATAAATAAATATTATGCTCACTATACTATTTTTTCTATGATTACAAAATTATTTTGTGATAACCTATAAAAAATATTTTAGTAGAAAGTTAATGCAATCTTATTAGATTAATCAATAAAAAAAATTGGGCCATCGTTCCTCCATTGTCTAAATTAATTTTTCAATTTGAAATTCACTCGAATAAGGGGTGACAAACACAACTCAAACATGACACATAATTTTCGTGTTTAGGTCGACCTGTATTCCTGTTTGTGTCATGCTCGTGTTAACAAAATAAGATAAGACTGGAATACAAGTTGTATGGTGTCTCATCGCTAATCCAAAATACACCTATAATTTCAATTATATATTTAGCCTTTCTTTACTTATTACTTTAAGGATATTAAACTAATTTTCTAATATAAAACTAAAAAAGAAAAGGTATCCCTAAACCATTTTAGTAGCCTATTTGACACAATTTTTTTATGCTAAAAGCTAATCTTAATATATAAAATCTTCATCCAAACTTTGGAAACTTTGCTAATGTGTCAATCTGTCCTTACTTCTCAGGTTTGTGTTCACACTTGACAGATTTTGAAATGTTTCTTCTTTTGGCAACTTTCAAAATTCGAATTTTTAAATTCATGGGTGGGAAAATAATTCAATTTTATGTGGTGGAAGACAGTTGTATTAATGATCCACTATTTTTTGCATGAATAAGTGGAAAAGTAATAATATCCCATTACTTTTTGCAAGTAGTAGTCGCCATAGATCGGTATTCTGCTTCAGCACTTGATCTGGCAACTACGCTTTGTTTCTTACTTTTCCAGGAAATCAAGTTGTCTCCAACAAAGACACAATACCAGAAGTAGATCTCCTATCAGCTGGCACTACTAAAAAAAGCTCTATTATCGACGAAATTTATCAATGGAAAATATTCCGTCAAAGATAGTTACGGAATTTTTGACAGGAATATAGTTCCGTTTGAAATAGAGACGAAAAATATTTCCGTTGAATTTTGAGACGAAAATGTGCAACGGAAAATAAATTCCGTCAAAAATTTTGACGGAAAATAAATACCGTCGAAATTTTCGGTCAAAAATTTATCATATAATTTTTGTAATTTGAAATTATTGACGACCAACAAATTCCGTTGAAAATTTCAACGGAGTTTTTCCGTTGAAATTTGAAACGGAATTTTTTCTGTCGAAAAATGCAACGGATTTTTTCTGTCGAAACTTTCAACGGAATATTTCCGTCAAAAATAGAAACGGAACTTTGGTCCGTTGGAACTTTCAACGGAATTTTGATATTTTTCCGTCAAAAATTTCAATGGAATTGTTTTCCGTCGAAAATTCCAACGGAATTTTTTTCTGTTGATAATTTTCAAGTAATCACATACATTGTGAAAACCCATAAATTTCTTTTATGCAAGAATGCTATCATTTATAATTGTTTATAGTGTTGTGCATACGTATTGAAACATTCGTCTGAGAATGCAAGTAGTCATGACTATCCATAACTAGAAGTGTTGAAGTAATGGATGAAGTTATAAGTATACAAAAATAATGCTCAGATGTACTCACATGTAAATGGAAAAATACATAAATATGTTGCTAACATATCCCTGTAATCTTTATTCAAATAAGCTTCAAACAAAAGAAAAGTACTCAGGCCTTGACATAATTAATCGTATAAATAGCACACACGCCAAAGCCCGATGAAGGACAAAATCTCCTAAGCGCAGACTTGCTGGAAGCCCTCAATAGTAGAATTAAACAATATAAAAAATGAAATCAACAAAAAAAGGGCAACATGAGTGATATGCAATTATCAACGTATATGATACTGATCTGAGTAGAATAAAGCAACAACAGACGCAACTGTTCTAGACATCATCATCTAACAATAATTTATTTAAGTGAGAGATAGAGAAATGAAATTTCCACCTTTTAGCAACCCCAGAAGTTCTATGACTACAGCGGTGAATTTATAGAGTAGGTGGGTGGGCTTGCGTGATTCTTTACTTTGACCATTTTATGTTGGTGCAAAGTGTATTCCTAAATGACTCATGAGAGATAATGACTTATTAGTGTCAAAATTTCAACGGCTTTTGATTTTTTTTCATCAAAAATTGCAACGGAATTTTATCCGTTGAAACTTACAACGGAATAATTTTCCGTTGAAAATTCCAACGGAATTTTGGTACGTTGATACTTTCAACGGAATTTTGTTATTTTTTCGTCGAAAATGTCAACGGAAATATTTTCCGTTCAAAATTTCCACAGAATTTTTATCCGTTGGTAATTTTAACTGAATTTTGATCCTACATTTTGTTCTTCAAGTAATCAAATTCCAACGGAATTTTGGTATTTTTCCGTCAAAAATTTCAACGGAAATATTTTCCGTTGAAAATTTCCACGGAATTTTTATCCGTTGGTAATTTTAACTGAATTTTGATCCTACATTTTGTTCTTCAAGTAATCAAATCATAAATTTCTTTTATGCAAAAATGCTATCATTTATAATTGCTTATGGTGTTGTGCATACATATTGAAACATTCGTCTGAGAATGCAAGTAGTCATGACTATCCATAACTAAAAGTGTTGAAGTAATGGGTAATGTTATGAGTATACAAAAATAATGCTCAGATGTACTCACATGAAAATGGATATGAAAATACGTAAATATGTTGCTAACATATCCCTGTAATCTTTATTCAAATAAGCTTCAAACAAAAAAATT